GTAGGGATATGCATGTGTGGGCATGTGTGTAGGAATGTGCATGATGGGCATGTGTGTGTGGGGATATGCATGTGTGGGCATGTGTGGGGATATGCATGTGTGGGCATGTGTGTAGGAATGTGCATGATGGGCATGTGTGTGTGGGGATATGCATGTGTGGGCATGTGTGTGTGGGGATATGCATGTGTGGGCATGTGTGTGCTTAGGGCAGAAGACAGCCTTAGGTGTTGTTCTTCAGGCATCTTCCACCTTCTTGTTCTTTTGAGACAGTCCCAGCGGCCTGGAACTAGCCAGATAGGTCAGTGAGCCCTAAGAAGCTGCCTGCCTGTGCCTCCCCAGGGTTGGAATCACAGGGCGTTGCTGCATTGCCAGAGTTTCCCCTTTCCCTTACAACAGGGTAGTTGCTTTATTACGGGAGCCGTGTTCTTGGAACAAAGGCAAGCCATGGGGTAGCCCTGCTACCACTTGGAAGGCTCCAGGGAGCCACATAGAGGGAGCGTGAGCTCCCTTCCTTCCCCGTGTGCCTAGACTGGACTCTTTGTGAGCATTATGCTAGCAATCCCATTCTTGGTCTTTAAACATTTTCTCTTACATGTATTTGTTTGTGTGGTGGGTTTGTGTGCATGTGTGGAAGTAGACAGCCTGTGCCCTCTCCTTCCACGATGGGGGTCCTGGGCATTTTGGCAACAAGAGCCTTTAATCACAGAGCCATCTCGTCAGCCCCCACATTCAGTCTTTTTTTTTTTTTTTTTTTTTTAATCTCTCTACATGGCCCTGGCTGTCCTGTAACTCACTGTGTAGCACAGACTAGTCTCAAACTCAAAGAGATCTTCCTGCTTCTGCCTCCCGAGTGCTGAGATTAAAGATGTGCACCAAGTGTGGGGCCTGTGGTCTGTATGCTGCAGTGTTGACTGTTGTCAAAGAGTCTCATGCTCCCTGAGACTTTGCTGTTTCTTGTGCTGAATCTCAGAGGTGCCTCTTCACCATTCATCACGAGACAGAATAAAAAGGTGAATATAACGATACATATGCTTCATTTCCTCTTAATTCTAAAACTTAAAGGTTTTCTAGGGTTTATTAATTTAGCATACGAACGTTATCTTTAAACTTTTTAAGTGAAATAATTACTAGGTTTGTCCCTTGTTTCTATCCATATAATTCAGGGTACAGCCTATGCTTTAGTCTATTCTCAAGCTTTTAAATTCCTTTGACAGCCTGGATATGAAATTCAAAAGCCATTAATGTGATGTGTTAATTTTGCACTTTTTGACTTACTGCAAAAATCTTATAGTTTCCATAGCAACAATAACCTATCCAGATTGTATAATATTCTTCACAGTATTAAAAATAAAACTGCAATTCCATGAGTTTTTGGAGCACCTCATGTAGGAGAACTAGGGATTGAAAGATTTCAGTGAAAAATAAATTGCGATTGAGTGTGAATAATACATCAAAAAGCTCTTTGTAATTTTAGGAATTAATAACTTTATTCAGTAGTGGATAGCTGGTAGCTAATGTAGTCATTAGACATGAAGCATGTACATTGTGAGCATGTGTGCTCACTGGCTCCGTGAACTCTGTCCCTGCCGCAAGGTGGGAGGTGCCACTGGCTTTGGCTGCTCTCTGTCACCTGCTGCTTGTGCTTTAGTGGTACTGAATGGTCTGATGGCCCAGGAGACAGTGGCAGAGGGGAAAGGAGCATGAAAGCTTTTCCTAATGTTTGTCTTTGCTGTGAACCTGGCGTGGTGGCGCACGCCTTTCATCCCAGCTCTCCGGAGGCGGAGGCAGGAGATCTCCGAGTTCAAGGCCAGCACGGTATATATATCTACGTGCTGAATTCCAGACCAGTTAGGGGTAGGCAGTGAGACCCTGTCTTAAACACTCCCCACCTGCCTTCTGCCTAAGTTAGTCATACTGAAAATGCTAAAGGTTATTTAAGCAGGCATTTGTTTCTAGAATATCGGGGTATTTTGGATCCCCTCCATGCTAACTTAAAACCATTATATTAACAGTACCATTTAAGCAGTATAATTTCCTGCATCTTACATGTGCTTTTAATTTTTTTTTTGTATTAGTTTCAATATATTCAATAGATGTATATATTTATTTATAGTAGTATAATCTTTATATTTTCTTAATATTACACAGTGTCCTATTTGCTTTCTATGACTGTGATGAAACACTGATCAAAAACAACTTTGGAGGGAGGTTCGTTTCATCTTACACTTCCGTCACTGAGGACAGTCTGCCCTCCCACAACAGTCATCAATCAAGAAAATGCCCAACAGGCCAGTTCCTCAGTCGTGGTTTCCTCTTCCCAGGCGACCGAAACAAAGTAAAAAAAAAAAAAAAGATGCTTTTAATTATCCTGATTGGCATATGGTGGAAAAAGTAAATATAATTTTTGGACTGACTGTGGGAGGGTAACTCATTTATTTATCCAAAATAGGCGATTAAGAAAACATTCTAAAGAAATTTATTTTCTCTCCTTCTGTTGTTTTTATTAATTAATTAGTTAGTTGGTTAGTTAGTTAATTTTTGTGTTGGTGGAGATTGACCCTAGGGCCTTTGGCATGCTAGGCAAACACACTACCACTGACCTGCATCTCCCGCTCTAAACTGATGTGTTAAAAGGCACATTGTGAATAACATGTCGACTCTTGTCTGCTGTCGGTACAGAATGGGGATGAGAAATAGCTAAGCAGGACAAGTGTGCCAGTTCTTTGGTGCAGTTGTAGTAAAACGTCACATCATGGTGCACCTTGAGCCTCTAATACAGTGGTTCTCAGCCTTCCCAGGGCGGTGGCCCTTTGTGTTTAAGTAATATATGTATATATTATATATGTGTTTTATTGTTTGTTGTGGTTTTGGCTTCTTGAGATGGTTTCTGTGTAGCCTTGCTGTGCTGGAACTTGATCTGTAGGCCAGGTTGGACTTGAACCCACAGAGATCTGCCTGCCTCTGCCTCTGCTTTTGCCTTCTGAGTTCTGGGATTACAGGTGTGTCCACCACACCTGTGGTGATGTATTATTTGTGATTTATCAAAGCTTGCCTGAGGATTCAGAAAGCAAAGCCAGCCTCAGGCTATCGAGATCAGGCTATGGAGGTACACACCTTTAATGGCAGGACTCAGGAGTAAGAGGTAGACAGATATGTTAGTTCAAGGCTACCATGACCTACACAAAAGTGAAGAGTAAGAGCTCACACCTTTGGCCCCAGCATTAGGGAGTACATAAGACAGGAACAGGGTCTCAGAGCTGGACTCACTCTCCAGCCACCCTAGGGTAGGGTGACACTGAAGTCTCAGGATTCTCCAGCCACGCTGAATTCAGGGTTCAGGCTGAGGTATGGTGGAGCCAGGGTCGGCTTTCAGTCTGAGGTAGAGGTAAGAGCTAGTGGCTTGGCTGGTTTGCTTTTTGATCTCCAGCTTGAAGTTTGAACCCCAGTATCTGTCTCTGGGATTTTTATTTTTTGTGTTATAACACCTGGCTGCTGTGACCTGTTAATTCCTCATGCTGTGGTGACCCCCAACCGTAAATTAAATTTCTGTTGCTACGTCACAACCATGGTTTTGCTGCTGTTATGGACTATAGTGTAGACACCTGTTCTCTGTGAAGTACCCACAGGTGAGAGCCACCGGTCTGCGTGTTAGACATTTACAGATGGCTCTGATAGTGTCCCATGCTGTGTGCTGCACTGCCGCTGTGTCCCAGGTAATGGGAAGTTGTCCACTCCACTCCGCTGTCACGGGAGCACCAGAATGCGTGATTTGATCCTTGATTGAAATTTCATCATGCAGTCACACATGACTAATAGCAAAAACGTACAGAGCCAGCACTGTTTGTTGATCTTTTAGTGGAAATACTTTTATTTTTATTCTTTTAATTATTAAAAACTGTTGTATGTAGTAAAAACCAAACCTTCAGCAGTGCAATTATACATAAAATGTAAAAGTGTTCCTTTTTACTGTGTTACAGAATCGTTAGCCCCCTTTATTTTATTCTGTTGCTCAGGATCAAACCTAAGGCTTTAGGTGCAGAGATGTCTCAGCTGGTAACCAAAAGACAAAAATTGGAGGGCAATGGATATGACCCTATTATTAGAACAAGCCATGGCATGATTTGTGTTTACAGATGATCAAACCACAGTTATGGGAGCCAGCTGGGACCATCCTGTGGCTGGTTCTGGTGTCTGTGTTGTCTGTATTCTGAGGAAGTTAACTCTTAAAATAGCTACTTATCTGATTGACTGCCCCGGTTACTGAAGCGTTATATTGTATTGGTGAAATCCCTGGTAACTATTAGGATTCCAGATATTCCTAGTCTTTGCTGGTTTCTTTTTCTTTTTCCAGACAGAGTTTCTCTGTATAGGCTTGGCTGTTTTGGAACTCACTCTGTAGACCACACTGGCCTTGTACTGAAAGGAACCTTCCCGCCTCTCTCTGGAGTGCTGGGACTAAAGTGTGCACCACTAGCGCCTGGCTATCTTTGCTTCTTTTTCAAAACCCCGTCTTAGTTACTGGGCTTCTCCAGGAGTCTTTAGAGAAAGCTGTGTTGGTGCTAAGTTTTGAAGTCTTAAAAGGGCTTTCACTTGGGGCCGATTAAGTGAGTCTGGTGGTTTATATTGTTATTTTGTAGTGATGGTTTATAACAAGGCGTCTGTAGACTTGAGATAGTTAGGAAAGGAATGGCAGTCATCTTACCAAATGTTGGAGTGTGTATCTATGCTTGTTTACTCTTTTAACCTGTGCTGTGTTCATTATCTTATTCTGCCTACTGTGAATTTCATGTTTTAGCTCTGTTTGGTGCTTTCAGTATAACATGAATTTCCTTTGGTAGTCCTTATTTCTACAGTAGAAGTATCAAACATAATCAGCAGTGTGTGGCATAGTGGAAATATTTACATATCATTGAGAGACTAAATATGTTTCCATTGTTTTTATAGTTATAATTTTAAGTAATATATGGAAAAGTAAAAACTGCTTTTTTTTTCACACGCAGAAAAGATGAAAAGGAGTACGCCCTGAAGCAAATCGAAGGTACAGGGATATCCATGTCAGCCTGCAGAGAGATCGCAGTAAGTACAGGCGCAGATAGATATCCATGTCAGCCTGCAGAGAGATCGCAGTAAGTACAGGCGCAGATATCCATGTCAGCCTGCAGAGAGATTGTTTTTAATGTTGGGGGCTTATTTGAATATAAGTCAATATATTTAATATGAAATATGTATCAATGTATTGATTGCATAATGAGTGATAATCTCACAGATTTATATAAAATGAGAAAATTTGTAAACTTAAAATCACTTGGAAGTAATTTTCTTAATGATTATTTGAGGCTTGTAATATACAGATACTGAATAAACAATGATGTAATTAAAATTATGGCATATAATTGCTTGAGTGAATAATAAAATGTATTCTCTAATTTTAAGTCTATATTTCTTTTTAAAAATGATTCTTGCAGGATTTTATCTGTTTCTATGCATGTATGACTATATGAGTTTACTTATACCATGGATGTGCTAATATTCAGTGGGTTAAACTCTGTTGAACATGGTACAGATCTTTAGGGAAGGATGTTCCCCTCCAGTCTTACCTTGCATACCCTTGCCTTGAAGACAGGGCTAGCCATATCTGCTGAGGATTTGCTAAATCTTAGTTTTTACAGTTCTGTGGAATAAGTGCTTTTAGTATACCTATTTCATACCAGAAAACTGGCAAAACTATAATTCTGGTTTTGAAGGCTTGCTATTACAGTTTCTTATTTTAATTCTTCAATGAAGATTTTTAATTGGGCTTTTACATTTGTTAGAGACTATTCCCTCTAAATTGTTAGCTATTTAAATAAGGTTTGCATAGTAATTCTTAAACAGTTGTTTACATTTTTCATATCCATTAGGTATATGTATATGTAGATTAGATTTTTGCAAAACTTAACCCCCCCCCAAAAGTATTGCCTTTCTCTGGAATATGCATTGATCTAAAGTAATACAAGTGTAAATTTCAACTGTAAAGTTAGTTGGACAATTTATTAATCATTCTAGATTATGTGGGTATAGAACAACTTGTAAGATGGAACTCCTTAGTACTCTTAAAAATTGGGATGCTTGCATAGTAAGAGAGGCTAAAGGCTGTCAGGGCCACAGACTGTAGAGGCCAGAGAGGTTCCTTAACCTTTTTGGACTATTGTGACAAAGCAGCAGAGGCTAGATGTCATGAAGGCTTCTATCCCTGACACTTCTGGAGACTAGAGCCTCCAGCATCAGGGCACCGGCAGGGTCTGTCTGGTATAGGCCTAGTTCCCTGTCTATGGAGTGTTGGCCATCCTTTGCCGTGTCTTTCAGTGATAGAAAGGATTGCAAGGAGTCTCTCAGGGGTCTTTCAGAGGACTTTGCTCTCTGACTTCTACCTCCTACCTCACAGAGGGCCCATGAAGTAATGACTTCAGTTTGTGGTTAAGATTGCAGACGTTGAGTTGGGGCCAAGGCACATAATAAGCATCCCATGTAGGCCTGGGATGCTTGCTCATGGGGTCTAGTGCTTGTTGCAAAAGCCCCAAGACCAACTTCATCCCTAACACCCAAAGCTGGCTAGGCCTGCCTGCATTGGTAGTGTTTGGGAGGCAGAGACGGGGTTCCCCTACAGCAAGACAGCTAGATTCACTGAATCAGTGTGCTCTGATTTCAAGTGAGAGCAAATAAAGCAGAGTTCAGTCAAGGAGACATGTCTACACATGTGACCACACATGTGGACATACGTGCACACATACCACCCACATAAATGCAAAAATTGTGGCAACAGAAAACTCATTTGCATTCATGCCCGAGGGAAGAGAGGGGTCAGGAAGTCTCCTTGCCCCTAGTGCTGAGAATTGAACTCAGCAGTCATACATGGGAGACAACTGCTCAACCACCGAGCTGTATTCCCAGCCCCAATCCTGACTTCTTGTCTGCTTACTGCCTCTCAGTCCTGGCCTGTTGTCATCTGAGAAGTCCTATTTCCTCAGTGACTTCTGCTTGGCCGTTTCCAAATGTGTGCATGCGCCCACACTCCAGCCCGGCTCTTTCCAAGGTGACAGGCAGACGAGCTGTTGTGAAGGGTCACCTCCAGTCTTCCTGTGGCGGGTGGGAATGCCATGGCCAGGGAAGAGCTCGCCTCTGCTCGTTCTCTGTTGCACTCTGGCCAGGCCAGCCAGCCGTTTGTAAAGTTCAGTGGAATGCTTACAACTTTTAGTATAGATGAATAAGCCTTTGTTTTATGAATTGGTAGAATGTATATTAGAGTAGGTAATGAACTCTGAGAAAAGCTTTGAAATGCCCATGAATAAAGCTGTTTAAATTTCCCTAATTTATCTCTACAGACTTAACATTGTTGCATTATATTTCATATATTAAAAGTGGAGAAACACATGGTATTAGGCAATGATTTTAAGAATTTTATGAATAAAGTTTGCATAAACTACAAAAAGTGGAGAAGGGTCATTGTATCATTTCATGTTTCAATGAGTTCAGATTTCCCTCACTTTGCCCAACTTTGTGAGAGTGTAGATTGGTAGAACTAGATATGTAACTCAGGATCCTGCCCTCCTGCGAAAGGATTAGATTTCAGTGAAAAGCCCCTAAAAGCAGACAGCTTTTAGATATATTTTAACAAGATGTTCTATGATAATTTGCTCATAAAATGTTTGACATGGTTTTTAGAATAGAACTAAAGAAATTTTATGTGATTTACTTTTGAACAAAATCTCTTCTTTGGATGCTTCCTTCTTTTTCTTTTTCCTTGATGTTTTAAGACAGGGTTTCTCTGTGTATCCCTGGCTGTCCTGGAACGCGCTCTGTAGACCAGGCTGGCCTTGAACTCAGAGATCTACCTGCCTCTGCCTCCCCAGTGCTACTAACATACTGCCTGGGTTCTCTGAGTTTGAGGCCAGCTTGCTCTACATTGGGAGTTCCAGACCAGCCAAAGCTACATGCACAGTGAGACCTTGTCTCAGACAAACAAGCAAACAAAGTATATTCTTAGAAGATATTGAAGCATAACATTTATTGTGTTTCTGTGTGTGTCTGTGTGTATAGGTGTGTATCTGTGTGTGCCTGTGTGCTGTGCAGACATTTGTGTCTGCGTGTGTCTGTGTGCTGTGCGGACATTTGTGTCTGTGTGTGCCTGTATATACGTGTGTATCTGTGTGTGCCTGTATCTGTGTGGACAAATGCATGTGGAGGCCAGCGGTGGCCATCAAATATCTTTCCTAATTGTTTTACACCTGGTTTTGTTGTTTTGTTTTAGCTTGGTCTTTTAAATAACATTTTTATTAGTTCTTTGGGAATTTATAGTGTGTTTTGAGCATATATGCATAGCCTCAGCTCCTTTCTCTGTCCTCTCCACTTGCACCTTCTGACATCTTAGTTTTTGAGGCATAGAATCTGGATTTTCCAATCTGGCTAGACTGGCTATCAGCGCCCCCCCCCCCCCGTCTCCCTCTCTAGTACAGGCAGCATAGGTGTGTGCTGCTTGCTTGGCTGTTGTGTCTGCAGGGTTATATTCTTTTGCTTGCGCAGAAGCAATTCACTGACTGATCCAACTCTCTAGCCCCTAAACTGTAAACTTTAATTAATTAAGTTAAATTTAGTAATCTTGGATTGCAAACACGATGGACATTTTGTTGGAGAGTGTGTACACGCAGGCGCCGGCATGCGTGTATGGTTTGGAGAGTGTGTATACACAGACACACACATGCACGTGTAGTTTGGAGAGTGTGTACACGCAGGCACCCACATGCACGTGTGGTTTGGAGAGTGTGTACACGCAGGCGCCGGCGTGCACGTGTGGTTTGGAGAGTGTGTACACGCGGGCGCCGGCGTGCACCTATGGTGGCCAGAGAACTACTTTCAGGAGCTGGCTCCTGCCTTTCACTTTGTTGAGCAGTCCCTGTCTCTCCTTGCTGCACTGCGCACTCCAGACTGGCCGGTCCACGAGCTTCTGGATTCCTGTCCACACCCTGTCTCATCATGGAAGTGAGTGCAGGGATCACAGGTGCTTCTTTCTGTGTGCATACTTGCATGCCTGGCGTGTGTGTGTGGAGGTCATAGGGGGACCTGTACGTGTGAGTTCAGGAATCGAACTCTAGATTCTCAGGCTTGGAGGCAATTGCCTCTACTTGTCATCTTCTTGACTCTCAAACTGTGACACTAAACCGGGAAAACCCCAAACAATACTAGAGATGCATTTGTTTGCTTGTTGCTTTTATTGTAAGGCAGCAAAGAACTTGGATTTGGGATTCAGGTAGGTTTGGGTTATGTGGGCTCCATCACGCCTCTTGAGTGTCCTGGAGTTCACTTAGACCAAGGCTTAGCGAGATCCTTGTGCGTCTGCGGCCCTAGTGCTGGGGTTAAAAGTGTGCACTACTATGCCCAGGCTTTTTTCTCTTCTTCTTTTGGTAAGCTTTGTGATTATTAATTTTTAGTCACACTTCAAGGTACACTCCATCATGGAGAGAAGGGCACGGGCTCAAAGCACAGCTCTCTCCTTTTTAAGAGGGTGGATTTGCTAGTATTGTGGGAAGATACTTTACAGGTGTCCTTAACAGAGGCTTGCTAAATGCTTATTTATTCATTTGTTTATTTTTAAAGTAGGTAGGTTCTAACTGTGTGGCTGGCCTGAAACTTGGCACTGGGCTGGCCTTGAGCTGGAGGCAGTCTGCCTGCTTCTGCCTCTCAGGTGCTGGACTGTAGGTGTACACCACCATGTCCAGCACACAAGTGTCCCTTTGAGAAGTTCAGTATTTGGTATTGCCTTTGAATGCTGAACTATTTTGAGGCTCTATTACTACACAAAATACACTGTGTCCTCTCGGTGTACCTGTTGGTAGATACTGAATATTACTTTTTGTGACACTTTGTACAGTGAAATTTTTATGCATGTAAAATGTTTGGAGTTTTTGAGACATGAAATGCTCTTCCCTCAGAAAATGAAATAAATGATGCCGGGCCACCAGCCTACCCCACCGAGAACCAGCCGTCACTCGGGTGACTGGGCCAGGCTGGCTGAGTCGGCCCTCCCTGCCTGCCTCCCAGCT